ACTTTAAATCCTTATTGAGATCAATCCATGAATGTAACACGAAGTCACAAAAATAGTAAACTTTAGTGATTCATAACGAATCAGAACCATCAACTTTATTCTGCAGAAAACTGAAGTGGTAAACATCAAGAAAACATTGAACACCAACTCCCACTGAACCAAGGCACTATCCATAGTAACACTTATATGAGCGATGTACTCATAAAATACTTCAAGTGTTAATACCTTAGCATACCTTATGTGTTCAATAAAAAATTCATCAACATGCAATTTATCCTTAGCAACAAGAAACTTTATGAACAATTTTTGTTGTTGAAATACGGCAAATTAATATTATCACAATAGAACTTTAGTGGTATTCAATACCATCCGCAACATGCAACAGCGTGATAATATTATGCAACCATAACCATATAAGATGCCTTCAGATAAGCTAAATCTCAATTGCTAAAGAGGAATAAACTATAAGTGTCTGCTTGGCACTTTCCAAATTAGTTTTTCCAACTAGCAGTTAATGTAGCTTGACTTAAATTTGGATCGTTCAACTTAACAGACATCTAATAAACTTAAAATTAGAGTTCCAAATGATCTCCCAAATGATCCGATAATCCTTAAGTGAGTGTAAACTCTCTTTTGTTCTCAAACAAAACTTAAAAAAAAAAAAAACCCTTTGGCTGCATTCAAAAGGTTAATAATCAATAGTCAATCATTTGTCAAATAATTACATGTATGCAAAATCCAAATACATACATTCTTGAAAATACAAAAGATTACCAACCATATGTAGATCTTTTGTCTATTCTAAACTTTAGACTCATTCTTGGGACAATGAATGAGATAGATAACTTAAGTTTTCTTAAGAGTATCCCACTCAATCTATAGTATATACAATTATTAACTTTATTTATCTCAATACAAAATGAGATAATGACTTAATATAATTGTAATACCATAGAGAGAGTTTACTTAATATTAAATACTTCAAAATGACATAGATTACAAAGAGTTTCTCATCAAAACTAAAAGAAAAGCCTCTTGTAACCAAAATCATTATTTAGATGAAAATTATGTTGGCTAGACATACCTTATGTCTCTCATTATTGTCTTTTGAATCCATTGAGCCACAATTATGACCAATGAGACTCGGACTTTTAGACAATCTGACAAGACCCCATAATATCAATTCATACATAATTTCATCAAAGCTTCATGTATACTTATTTGAGGTGGTTGAGTTTGAATTTTGGGACCATAATTTGCGTTCATAAAAAAAAAAAATGCTTTATAACCTTATCTCCCACTCAAGCTCAACTTTCTCAAATCAACTTTAAATTCATTATTAAAAGAAACTTTATAGAACTTTGAATGAGTAGTTACCCACAATCTTTAGTCAAATTTACTTATAGATATAAAAGTCTTACCTTAGTTGGACAACCCCAAAGTGTAAGCTGAAAATCCATAAGGGATGTGTGTTTTACTCAATTCACAAACTCTATTAATAATGAATCACATTGCTTCTCACATTATTGACAAAGAGGAGTAGTCAACCATATTTCTTAACAAAATTGAGTTAGTTTCATATGTCTTGTACCACTTAAAAATTTGATTGCTTTATGTGAGTGGCAAAACAAGAAAACTTACTCACGAAATACTTAAGTGGTACAAAACTAAACTAGCTAACTCATATTGAGAAGCAAACTTTAGAATGTGGATTAATGAAGGATACATTGTACATTAAGTCTTTTCTCGTTCAAATTTTCTTTAATTGCATAACAAAAGAAACACCTTATGCACAATTAATGTGCCTTTAGATTGAATACGAGATTTAGACATATCACAATGTACTTCCTTAGGTTCCATTTAACTTAATTGAAACAATAATCAAAAGATATATTATTTCATCAAATATCCTTAGTGGAACTTCCTACATTATCCATCAACCTTATGTCCCAATAACAACCAAATATTGTTCTATAAGCATATAAAACTTGTAGAAAAATATATAATGACAAATGACTTAAGGTAAGCAGATGAAAAATTTTTGAACAATACCAAAATACTCACACATAAATTTATGTCATACATAAATATGGGTAAATAGACCAAATAGGGACACGTGGCAAGACACCATAGTGCAACATTAATCTCGTCTATGGACAAAAAATTAACTGCATTGGTAATCTTGTTGTAATGATCAAGCATTGATAATAAGTTCTGTCAAACAAAAGTCTATCTTTGGACTGACTAATGTTCACATGAACAATCTAAATAATTATCACTTACTTATCATCACATGTGTGTTGTTATTTTGCCAAATTGTGTCTACCTATGGGCTGATCACAAAACGCATAAATAATTCCACACGACATCTATGTAATTTCAATAAAGTCGCTCTCCACATACAGAGGTTGCTATGGCAATATGATGTTTTGATTGACTAAATTGAAAATTACTAGACCAATTGAGTAAAAGCCATATGCGTTTCTCTTATCACCATATGCGCGTTATTATTCGGTCAACCTGTGTCTACCTATGGGCCGAGCACAGATCACATGAACAACTTCTCACAACATTAAAATGATTTCAATAAAGTTATTCTCTATGCACAGAGGTTGCTATGGCAACATGATACTTTGATTGACTAAATTGAAAATCACAACATCATAGAAAAGTGATCGAGAATTTTTCTATTACTCAATTAAACAACGTTAAATCGTCGCCCCAGGAAAACTTTGGATATAAAGTTCATGAATTAAAATAAATTTAATTCCAACTTTATTTAGATTGAAAGCCCATATAACCAATTAGGCTTAAAATCTAATTTCAATAAGCTTAAATCGAAATAAACTTTCTTTTGAATTTACGGCCCACTATGACCAAATTGGGCTAAAATTCAATCCCTTTACATCCAAAAATGAGTTCAAGCATATATAAACTCAACATGACATTATTTTGGAATTTAAGCATAACCAAATTAAACACACAAGTCATGAAAAAGCTTAATATGTTACTCATAATTGACTCAAAAAATTCTTATGGATTATATATGAAGATTTTCAATATAAATCCTATCCTTATGGGACAATTAGCCCAGCATTCCGAAAACACATTATGAGTCTACCACAAGGTCAAACTCAAACTCCAGACCTTATAAATATTTTGAGATACCAAGAAAAAGATAATTTCAAAATCTAACTTTTAATTTGAGTCAAAATATGAAACTTTATATGAACTTGTGTCCATTAACTTTATTTGAGTTTAAAGTCTATAAAACCAAATTAGACTTTAAATCCAATTTTATATAGCCAAAGCCTAGTGCGTCCAAATTAGGCTTAACATTGCCGAATTGTGAATTAAGTCCACAAAACATAGAACCAAGTTCAAATATCTAGATTTTAAGCTAGAAACAAACGTTGTTAATTGAGCCGAATTGGACGAAAACCAAATGACAACTTAAGCACAAATTAATACACTCATAACAAAATAAAACAAAATAAAGATCTACTATTTTATTTTATCTTCTTTAGTGAAAGACCATAAAACTTAATCCCTTGTGTTGATTTAAAACCTTATAAACAACCATAATAAATTTTAAATCAACCTTTAGATGGATCACTCCATAGATCCCGAAAACATACAAGTAACAATATCAATGTTTACGGTCACAAAATTTACTAAGAATTAGAATACCATAGTCAAATAAGGGTAACTTTATCTCAAGACAACATAAGTCCATTAATATTTCATCTTTGGACAAAATATTAACTTGTAATTGATATCTTAGCGTAGGGATGAAACATTGACAATAATAACATATCAAACAATAAATTTTCCTTTGGGCCGACTTATTGTTCACATGTATAACCACAACATGAAAGTAAATAATTCATGTTCCAAAATTATATCATTCACAACTCAATTCCAAAGTAATATGTTGAATCAGTAAGGCCCAATACTTGATGTTAATGAGATCAAGGCACTAAATTCAAACGCCATTCAAATCAAATGCACTGTTCAAATATATATATTTCACCCAATCTAATGCAACTGCAACATGAAATTGCAATGAATCAAAATGTTCCGAATGTGAAAGCAAATAAATCTGAACTGATAGATTCATATATACTTCACATTCACAAATAACAGAAACATACATATCCGAAATCAATCACATGAATATTTGCACAAACAGTTTTTTTTTTTTTTATTTCTAATTGGATCTAAATATTATATCCAACATCACATGATCTCAATTCATATAATAACATCCTAAATTCAGAAATAAATCCCAAAACCGAAAGCATATTTATATCGAAACCAAATCTCAATATAATTGATGGATTCAAATAATTTTGATTCCCCAAAATCCAATACGAATGGCTCTGATACCACTTGTTGGAATTAGCCTTATACGAAAACCATCGCTTTATCCCAGGAGCATTCATATCAAATAATCGAGAATCAAACTAGATAGCGGAAGCGTACCTTAGGTAGATTTATAGAT